CAAAGCACCGAGTTGATCTCCCTGTGCTATGCGGCTGCTTCCCACTAGCTATCTATTTTACATTTGGTAGTGTATATATGTCCATGCCACTCTCTCCCTTCGTTCCAGCTTGCCCTTCCCCCTCCCCAATAAAGATGCAGATGTAGAGAATGGATTCCTGGCATTTCTGAATGCCTTACTCAAGGGCTACATAAGCTCCCCTGGTGTGGGAGAAAAGTCCCAGGCAGAGAAGGAGAGAGGCTGGGCCTCTGAGGTGGGAAGTGGTCAGCCTGTGTGAACCCTGTGCACTGTAGTTGGGGTGGACCAAGAGGATCGGGAGTGAGGGGGGATAGGGTGAGGAGTCACAGAGCAGCCAATGGCCACTGTCTAGAGGCATTATCTCATTTAATCTTCCCAATAACACCATGAGGTGGGCATTAGTGACAGCTGGGTGTAGGGTCAGGTGAGTGAGTGATGAAAAACTCAGTAACTGAGATAAATTGTATTTTAAGGCAGCACTTTAAAAACTCAAAATTAAGGTCTGAAAATCATGCTAAACAAAATATCAACATTTTAAATAAAGACAGAACTGACCCTGGACTTGACCCTGACTCTCTTGCTTCACCCTAATGCTGGCCCTAGTTCCAATAAAATTTTATTTACAAAAAGAGATGGCTATAGATTTCCAATTTGATTTCTTAAAATATTGCATTAAAATGTGATTTATCTTGACTACTGAGTTTTTGACGCCCTATTAACTTATGCTCCTGAGGCTAGAACTCCTGGCTCTGGCACTAACATTATTTCTGTTTTACAGATGAAGAGGCTGAGGCTCAGACACATGAAGCAGATTGCTCTAAGTCACTTGGGTGACCCCAGGTGACTCCAGGGTGAGCACTATCAACCACCAATGCAGACCTCTCCCCACTTCAGGCCACCCCCCTAAACTTGCTCCTACTTTGGGTAAACTTGAGGTTTGTAGATGCATAGCTTTGCTGGAAAAAGTACAGCAGAGTTAAACTGACAAAGCTGTTCTAGCTGACTGCCTGTCACACGACACGTAGATGAAGCAAACTGAAAACCTGCCAGTTCTACAAAGGTTTATTGACCCGTCTCAGCTGCATGTGTTTATTTCACAACCATAGAGTAAAACCCGGGAATATGTGTGCGCTATAAAAAGAGAAGTTGGACATTTTCTAATTTTTCAATGTCTAATAATTGCACATAAATGTACCTGATTTTCCATTAGCTAAATGGGCTTGCCAAAAAGAGCTAATGAATATTGCATGGTTGAGTTCTGTCAGTTTTTCAAGGAGGGACTGGACATGAAATCATTTCTTTTAATACAGAGACAAAGACAAGTGACTTTGGAATTTAATGAAAGGCGCCAGATTGGAAAGCTTGCTTGAGCAGCCTTGCCTCCTCTTCACACGGACATGCAGAGGCTCTCAATATGGGTTTATGGATTGATTGACAGACTAACTGATGGCCTGTTGGGCACAGAACTTTAGGATACAAAGCAGGTAAACAGTACAGGTTGGTACAAAGCACCTATAACACATCCAGCTCTTTTGTGTTTGGGTCCTTACAAATGATAAAAGTGTGGGGCAGGGTTTTTTCCTACTGAAAACTGTCAGATACGTTGTTATGAAATTCCAACAGACTTGACAAGAACTCTTCTGGAGTTTCTGGTTTGGCTATTTTCATGGCAAGACTTAACTAGTGGTGGTCACCAAGTCTCTTCTTCATTGCTGACCTTACCATGTCTTTGTTTTCCTGATGATTGGTGTGAAAACATTTCCCTCTTAATATTCAGACAGTGATATTTTTATGTTGCCCATTTGAATAGGCATTTATCTGCCCCTTTGCTTAAAATGATTCTAAGGTTCCTGAGAGAGCTGCTTTTGTTATGTTTCTACTGGAGATGCCAAAGTGGACAAATGTCCACTGAATGACCACAGGTTGTGTTTAAGACCCAGCTTCTTAGACGTGGGATGGCCTACAGTAATTATACACTGAGTTTCTAAAATTAATTTGAAACGTTGATAAAGGGACAGAGAAGAAATTAGTTCTAATGCATTTTAGGAGCATAAAATTAGAATGGTGTAGTTTGATTGACAGCAGTCTAATGTTATTAGCAATCCTTATCTAGTTTAAAAAGGGAGGGGTCATGTTTCTTCGAAGTCACAATCTTCATTTTTGTACTTTGTAAATTATTAACCATTCTATTAGAAAAATAATGAGAATCTGCAGATTAAATGGCAAAGGCATAGTTAGTAAAAAATGCCTTTTGATAATTTTGACCTTGGGAATGTGATGGGTATGGATTAGAAGTAGACTGGTTGGTTCCTCATCTTAGTTCTTTACACTATACCATCAGGTAGGCCTGGCACTAAACTCAGAATAAGAACAGTAAGCCCTTTTCCATAGCTTAGAATTAAGGACATTATAAATGTATGGGAGGTGTCAGAATTAATTTAATTATCTGCTGAATGACTTCTGTGGGAAGAATATTGTGCTATGGTTTTTGAGAACAAAGGAAATAAAATATAAGAGCTGGTCTATGCCAATGGAGAGTTTACTGTCTGGCTAGGGAAACAAACAGAAGCATGTAGTAGATGTGCAATTCTTTTTTTTTTTTTTTTTTTTTTTTGCGATACGAGGGCCTCTCACTGTTATGGCCTCTCCCGTTGCGGAGCACAGGCTCCGGACGCGCAGGCTCAGCAGCCATGGCTCACGGGCCCAGCCGCTCCGCGGCATGTGGGATCTTCCCAGACCGGGGCACAAACCCGTGTCCCCTGCATCGGCAGGCGGACTCTCAACCACTGCGCCACCAGGGAAGCCCGATGTGCAATTCTATATAGCTGCAATATATATGGGTAAAATGAAGTGCTACATTGTATACTGGAAATAATTTGAGAATAACTATTTTTAAAGGTGCTAATTGTGATAATCATTAATTGAGTTTAAATGGAAAGAGTGACTGTAGTTAATCAAGAAATATGAAGTATGATATGATATGCTTGCAATGTGTAGGGGATGTGCTATTACCTTCTGGCAGTTCTTTCTCTATCCCCCTTTCCGCTCTTTTTATTTCTGGCCATTAAATGGGGAAAGTCCTCAAGACTCAGTCCTGAGTCATCTCTTTTTCTCTTTCTACTTTCTCTGTCTGGAAAATCTTATTCATGCCCATGGCTTCAACGACCTCTGATAAACAGATGTTTCACAAATTTACATTTTCAGCCCAGATCACTCCCCTAACTCCAAACCCATACACCCAACTGCTTCATAGACAATGTTTCTTGGATGTCTCAAAGGATAAAAAAGCATATGATTATAATTTAATTATTTCCCAAACTTAGTCTCCTTCCAGTGTTTTCTAGTTTGGGAAATGACCCCAACATCTATCTGACTTACCCAAGGCAGATGCAAGCCAGAAAACTGGAGGTCATCGCTGAAGCTGCTATCCTTCTTACTATATATACTGTCCGATTCATCAAAGCCTGTCAATTTTACCCCCGTTTATCTTGCAAATCCGACCAATTCACTCCACCATTCTGCAGTCTATGTTCTCTTCCTTTGCTACTCTCATGACATCACATTTTCTCCCATCATGACACCTAGTCATAGTTAGTAGATAGTTGCATCAGGCACATCTAGTTGCCTAATCACCATTCATTTCCACATTTTTCCTTAGTAACAAAACCTGAATTTTGTTCAGGTATCTGCCCTTCCCTATGTGACTTGGGGGAGGATGACCTTATTTCCATCTCACAGTAAATCTCCTTGCCAGTGACTGGCTAAGAGATGGGTGCATAACCAAGTTTGGGACAATGAAACAGAAAGGTATGTGTACCAGGCGGCTGTGGGGATAGCATTTCTTGCTGTTAAGGAGAGGACTCAGAAGCAAACAGTCCGTTTTCTGCCTCTGCTGACCAGAATGAGCTGCCTCCAACAGCTTCCGTCATCCTGCTGCCAGCTTAGGGATGGAGACCACAGAAAGAGGTGGGCAGCATTGGGACCCCTGCAAGCAGGTGGAGTCAGCTATGAGAGGTGGCAAATGTCCATACTGTTTTTGCCAATTTTCAGGTGAAGCTGGAGCTATCTTAAAGGACACAATAATTTCTCAACTGTTTATTTGGTTAATTTAAAAAAAAGTTCCCACCCCTCCTCCCCAACTAGATTATATGTATCTACATCTGATTTGCTCACTGTTGGGTTCTCTGTATGAAGGACCACATCTGCACATAGTGGGAATTCAGGCAATATTTACTGAATGAATAAATGACCTAGTCATGGAAATGACAGGTGAACATATAACAAGAAAAGTAGTGACACAAAACGATGTTTGATCAATGCCAGTGAATGGGAGGAGGAGCTTGAAAGAGAAATAAATCAGGGTGGTTCGGATGGCTGCAATAATCTTTGTAGGGGAGATAATCCCTGAGGTTATCTTTAAGCACTGGCTGGCTTTGTACAGACAGATAGATGGAAATTGTGGCAGTGGGGGGAAAGTACACAAGAAAGGGATCCAAGGGCAATAGAGTAGAGTAGGATTGAGAACATGTTGGTTAATGCCTTAGCTCACAATTTGAAAGACCTTGTGAATTGACAGACATCCCTGAAAGCTATTACATATAAATAGTATGGACTACTTCTGAGAGAAAGAGAGAATCCTTAAAGATTTTTGAACAGGAGTGTATCCGGATGTTACGTATCTTGCTGGTACTTAACTCCTGGGTGTGGCAGGATGACCCTCACTTCACAATATCTAATTATTAGAGGGAGAGAAGGGCCCTGTGTCCATGATTGTACAATTATACATACAATGGGTAATGTAATTTTAAAAAGCCTTCCATTTTAAGCTTTTAAAAGCATGTCTCTCAAGTTGAAATTGAAAGAATAATTGCATACATGGTGTCTTACCTGTAGGCAGATTTCATAGTCATTCATTTTCAAATATCTGATGTCAGTAGTTTAAGTAAGACTTCCAGAACATTATTCCTCTGTGCTACAATGTTGGGTACTCAATAATTTCAAATTGATTCATTGCTATACCTAATGAAAAAAATCATTTTAAGTACAAAAAATCATTTTAAGTACATTTTAAGTACTCTACCTATTTTCCCTAAGGGAAAATGCTTGGGGAGCCCACTGTTCAATACTTCTCCTAATGTCATGACTTGATTTTATACATCTCTTCAATATGTTTTTAAGGGATTTGGAGTAGAGCTTTAAACATCTTCGAATGCTAGTTGGGAAAACCCATATCTTTGAAAGTTAAATTACTTTGTGCCTTAAAAACAGGAATTTCACAAATAATTTTTTTGGAATGATGTGTTTGAGATAGTTATAAATGTTTGCTATTTTTTGCCAGTTTTAGGACTTTTTAATATTTGCAATATGGTAATACCCTTTTAGAAACACTATATGTGTGTGTGTATAATTATATTTGTAGCCATACTTCTTAATAAAAAATAGTTTGAAACATAGAAACTCTGCCCCATAGAAACTCAGACCTTTATTAGTTTGACTCTTTTAGTTGCAAGTAACAGAATGGGAATTTGGCTAAATGAAACCAAAAAATGAAAGAAGGGGTCTCAGAATCCAGGGGAAAAGCTGAGGCCTCAGGAGGGGCCAGCAGGGGGATAGAAGGGCAATAAGGGAGTGCAGGGGAAGCAGGGGGCAGAAAACAGTTCCGTGAGGACATTGCTGTAAGCGGTAAAGGGGCTCTAATTGTTTTCAGTTCATTTGTCCTTCGGCTCATGATTCAAATTCCAGGGAGAAAGAAAGGATGAGTATGATTAGCCTAGCTTGAGTCTTCTACTCACATCTTCTCACCAAGCCTGAAGTCAGTGGGGAAGGGTTTTCCCCAAGAAAAATTCAGCTGCTCTTGCCAAAGGAAGGTGTCCACTCATGGACGAAGCCCAGGTAAAAACACCAGATGTTATTTGTAGCACCCGATACCTGGGCTCTTAGATGTCATTTATCTCCAAATTTGTTTCTCAAATTCAGCCTCCATACTGGCTGCAGAGTGATCCCCATAAAACCCCAAACTGACTCTTTTTTTAAAAAAATTTGTTTTGGCTGCGTTGGGTCTTTGCTGCTGCGCACAGGCTTTCTCTAGTTGTGGCGAGTGAGGGCTACTCTGTTGCGGTGTGCGAGCTTCTCTTTGCGTTGGCTTCTGTTTGTTGCGGAGCACGGGCTCTAGGTGTGCGGACTTCAGTAGTTGTGGCACGCAGGCTCCATAGTTGTGGCTTGCAGGCTCTAGAGCATAGGCTCAGTAGTTGTGGTGCATGGGCTTAGTTGCTCCGCAGCATGTGGGATCTTCCCAGACCAGGGCTCGAACCCGCGTCCCCTGCATTGGCAGGTGTATTCTTAACCACTGCACCACCAGGGAAGGCCCCCCAAACTGACTCTTAACCTTCCTGGCTTAACACTCTTCAGTGACTCCTTTTTTTAAAATTAATTAATTAATTTTATTGGGGTACAGTTGTTTTACAATGTTGTGTTAGTTTCTGCTGTACAGTGAAGTGAATTAGCTATATGTATACGTATATCCCATCTTTTTTGGATTTCCTTCCCATTTAGCTCACCACAGAGCATTAAGTAGAGTTCCCTGTGCTATACAGCAGGTTCTTATTAGTTATCTATTTTATACATATTACTGTATATATGTCATTCCCAATCTCCCAATTCATTCCACCCCCCGCCTTCCCCCCTTGGTGTCCATACGTTTGTTCTCTATGTCTGTGTCTCTATTTCTGCCTTGTAAACAGGTTTATCTGTACCATTTTTCTAGATTCCACATATATGCATTAATATACGATATTTGTTTTTCTTTTTTTGACTTACTTCACTCTGTATGACAGTCTCTAGGTCCTTCAGTGACTCCTTAAGGACCTGGTGATTTTTCAGTGTCACTTTTCACATCTCTCAGCCTAGACCTGCTGTTCCAGCCTCACAAACTGCTTAGAGCATCTCTTACCTTAGCTTTGTGCTGCTGTTTTCCTGCCATGCGGATTTTCAGCTCTATTCCTGTCTGTATGTCCATCAGTGGGTTTACCACATGGGATTACAATGAGCAGCTTAAGGGTCTGTTTCTTGCAGGAGATTTATATCTCATTCATTTTTGATCTCTACGCATTGCACAACACCTGCCTTCATTATTATTTATATTATTTCTCAATAAGTTTTGCTGACCACATAAATGAATGAATGCAATGTATTTTTCCCTTACAGATAATGATGGCAAACCTGATGTCTGAAGTAACTATCACCTTTGTAGATGCTAACTAGTTTTTAATAGTGCTGTATTATTGTTCACCCCAATTCCTTAAACTAAAGGACAATTTTTATTTGGGAGCCCTATTTCCACTATGAAAAGAGTCCTGTTTATTTCCATTTGCTCAGGCTTATTTTTTTATATTTCCATTTGCTCAGGCTTATTTTTTTAAGTTTCCTTGCTATTTCAGGGATATAGAGATGAAGATATATATTTTCATAGTGAGGGATATATTGCTAGGTACTTATCTTTTTTTTTTGAATTTTCTTTTTTTTTTATACAGCCGGTTCTTATTAGTTACCTATTTTATACATATTAGTGTATATATGTCAATCCCAGTCTCCCAATTCACCCCCTACCCGCCGGCTTTGCCCCCTTGGTGTCCATATATTTGTTCTCAACATCTGTGTCTCTATTTCTGCCTTGAAAACTGGTTCATCTATAGGTAGGTACTTTTCTAAACCAGAAATTGGAAAATCATGGGATGACTTGGGATAACTTAGATTACTGCATGGTATTATTTTGTTTTCTCAGTTCCAGTAATTTCATATTGCTACTCTTCTAGAACATTTACCTCCCCTGCCTTTTTTTCTTGCTACTAGCAGCACATTGTAAGCTCTTGTGTATTTGTTATAAACTATCACCCCCAAATCCTCTTAAGTCTTTTTGCTCTTTAGAAGAATTCTCAGTTTATGTCTGTGCTTCATAGTATTTTCCCCAAAGTGTGTTTTATGTTCTTGTAAATTGAACTCATCACACTTAAACTTGTGTGCCTCTCCAAGGTCTCTGGATTATTCTGTACTGTTGATCTATTTTTCACTGTTTATGATGTTCTGCAAATAAGAATAATGTACAATTTACTTTGTGCTTCAGACCACTAATAAAGGTATTAAAGAGCATGTGCTTCAACTTTTGCCTTCTGGCTTCCTGCTTTTCCCAGTCTGACTCTGGCCTGTTAGCAGTTATTTTTTCATTCTGTCATTTTTTTTCTTGTTAAAATATTATATATATATATATATATGCAGAAAGTAGCTTGTAATTTTTCTTAATTTCAGCACCAAGGAGCAGATAACCAAGATAAATATTAGGTCAAAAGACATCTTTTTATTCTCCCCTGGAATATATGTGTTTGGGATTATTATAATATTTATTGAAACTATACTATATTTATAATAGTAGCTAACACTTGTGTAGTGCTTGCTGTGTTCCAGGACTATCCTAAGTATTATACACGGAATATCTCATTCGATACCCACAACAACTCTATGAGGTAGGTACAGGTATCTCCTCCATTTTGCAGATGAGGAAATCGAGGCACTGTGGGCGTTGTAAAGTACGAAAGTCGCACAGCTAGTAATTTGCAGAGCTGGGACTCAAACACAGGCTGTTTGGCTTTGGAATCTGGGCTCTTAACCCATTATATTGGATTCGAAAAAGGCCTCGCTAAGTGAGAGATACTGAAAAGAACCCCACACGGGTCCTACCCCAAGATGTTGACAACATAATTCAGGGTTTGCAAAGAAGCAGCCTGTGTCTCCTTCTTCCTCCCCTCACTCCTCTCCTCAGTCAATCAGGAACCAGCTCTTACCTCCTTAACAGTTTTTCTTTCCTTCCCCATTATTGCAACCTTGGTTCAGTACATAATGATCACATGCTGAGATTTCTACAGCCATCTCCCCACCTGTCTCCTTTATTCTATCTTGGGTCCCTACAACTCATTCTCCATAATGCAGACTGAGTTACTTTCCTTTCCGCACATCTTCCCCTGAATTCCACACTCCATGGAATTCATCCTGTGCTCACCTGTGTCTAGCCCTTTGAAGGAACTGTTTATTTATCAGTCACCACTTGTGATACCCTTACTCCCTTCCAGTATTCTGATTGGCAAGACCCGGATCATACATATGTCTACACTTGGAGATGGTAGGGGTGGGGTGCGGTCTACCTCATGCAAAATGCATGGCCTATGAATGAAGAAAGGGTAATTTTCCCCAGTGAAAATAAGGGTTCTGTTGCCAGAATGAGGGGAAGTGAACGCGGGTCAGGAAAACACAGTATAGGTCCACCTTTCATCAACTATCAAGGGCATACAATAGGCACCCAATAAATGACTTATTTTATTAAGGGTAATGAACATGTAATAGATATCATATAGGGCTCTTTATGTGAAAGTTTCCGACTACCAAAACTGATTTATAATTTCGATTAACCTCTTCTTTTGAATAATTTTGAATTATCTCTTTAACCAGTAACTTGAATTTCACATTATAGAGAAAGTGATCTAAGAAGAGGTTAGATGACTGAAAATCATTAAAATGTCTGGAAGGAAGGAATCTGAATTTTCTTTGCAACAGAACATCTTTGAAACAGTGCATTTTATTCATATAGAATATCACAACTCAGGGAAGATTCTTAAAATCACTCTGTAGCCAAGACACAGATATGGCTCCTCTGCTTATCTGCTTGAAAATTTATCATTATGATGAGACAAGTGTCATGAGTGAACTGGACCCAGAACTGTGAAATTCAGTCAGTCTGTTTTTCCCGAGTTCATACGAACGCCATGTGGAGGTTATCTAAATGGATGCGGTCAAGGTGCTTTGTCAATTATCATTTAAAAATGCTCACCCATCTCTGGAAGTTCTTAGCTTCATTGGCAAATCAAGTGAGAAGTGAAGCTCACTGAATCTATCTAACCATTCCACTTTTATGCAGGATAAATTTAGGTTTGGGGCTTTAAATGTCCTGCAACAATCAGTTATATGGATGAACC